GGTGCAGTACCGACCCTAGAGGGGTTTGATGAGCACTGATTGACAGTGCTGGAGGGCACCACGCTCTGCGTGCAGTGCCGACCCCTACAGGATAGGGTGTGAGAGTGCCGGCCATGGAAATGGGGTTACTAAGGGCCATGGCACTGTGGTTGACCCCGAAGGACACGTGACTAGTAAAGTCTACACAGGGCCCCCCAGGTGGGGGCTAGGCGTGGTCACGTGTCAGGACCGAGATCCTGCTCGAGGCTTCTGGAAGGTGCTCGTGGCTAAGGGCAGAGCCAGCCACACCACGTACAATATAAGCCGGGTCCTCGAAAGGGACCGGCTGCTGTGGTTTCCCTGAAGAATCAACGTTCGAGAAGAGTCAGCAACATGTGGACCTGGACCCAAGCTGGGGGTCCTGTCCGTTGTAGCTACTCCCAGTGTAATTAGTGCAGTTAGCCTGGTGGTCACGTAGCTAGTTACGGTGTAATTGGTGTAGTTAGCCTGGTGGTCCACCACCGTAGGTTATCTGGTGAAGGCGCAGTTACCCCTTTGTGTTGGTATCAATAAATGTGCTTGCAAGGAGTACGTCTGCGACACAGTTGAACTTACTACAGTTGTATACAATGTAAATATGTTTTGTGTCGTGCAGAGTTGTGTACAATTAATATCGCTTCTTAAAGCCGCCTTTAATCACCACATGCGTACATTGTTTGTCATGTTGACCACATCCGCTGTGCTATTAAAGGTCATATTTTGATCTTGGGGGAAATGTGTAAAGATATTTTTCCTGGAAAAGTGGTCAAGACATCACTGCATATAATATCTCACGAGCTTATGTTTATATTACATGTAATAACATGCTGCAGAATTGGGGATGAAGATAATTCAACAATACATTATAAGCTCACAAATAAAAGCCTTGTGCATTTAATTTTGGATGTCTGAGTGCCAGCAAATCCGAACGTGTTCACATGTACTTATGTAGCCTACATGTTGTGCCAGTGATGATCACAAAGGACCAACAGGCATGTACCAAAATCTAAATTCTTTGCTCGATATATGCAAAGTTTTAAAGTGGACCACACCAGACTTGAAACCGGTACACCGCCAAATTTGACAACCTATGATTTTCTTTGGTGCATGTCTTGCCTTGTGAATCTAAAATTCGATTTTTTTACCTTTCCACCTTTACTCAACAAGCATTTTATCGCTACTTGGCGGAGAAAATGTGGCAAAGCATAACAGGAAGCAGGTGCAGTCCTTAGCTGTAGCTGTAGGCTAAAGAAGCTTTTATTTTGGCCGGATGGATTGTATGCAGTCTCAAGGATTTTATGACCCATTCCTTATGTGCACGATAGGTTTGTAAAAAAAATATAGATTTTTGTTTGACTTGTCAGAGTTTTGTTCCTGTATATTGTCATAGCATGGAAAGAGTTGCTGTTTTGCTGCTTGGTGTTGTGGAGTTTGTGTTTATAGTGGACAGATGTTTTTTGTTTTCATCACAAAAGTGATGTGTAGTATTTATTGTCACGTTTGCGATGTGTTTAGTACGTAATTTCAGTTAACGTTTTTCTCTCTTGTAACAGTATGCATGCAACGTTATTTTTGAAATTTGGTTGTAGCTCTCTTAAAATCGTTAAGGGGTTGCTGGTTAAAAAGAAGAAAGTCAAATCTCTTGCTCTGTTTTAAATAATGTTAGGTTATATTCACTTGTATAAGATAAATACATGTATTAGCATACATAATTATTGCAGAATAAAACGGACCTCGAATAAACATTGCTACTCATTAGGCAACATTTTCTTTCATTCGAATCTTATTTCTACAGTAACTTATAATTGATCAGTGGTGCTGCCTCCTAAAACGGCAATTTATAGAGCCTAGGCACTTGGCAATGAAATGTAAACACATTTGCACACCTCACGAGTAGCATTAGGTTGCATGATCACATTTTTATATTATGCTAAATATACATTTTCATACAAATGTTTGTTGCATAGATTTATAATATTTTCTCCAGAGCAACTATTCTTCGATGAAACCCATGCCCGCACACACCACCACGTTTCAGGTGGGCTTATTTAGCTGCAGAGGGCAGCATGAACGAGGAAAATTAGATATATTAGGTGAAGGAATGGCTCATCGTGTGATTAATTTTCCAGGCGGTACCACCGCCTGTAGTTCCCCGTAAATTTTGATGACTGGTTGGAATTAGAATTCTTTAAGTGTGGCTGTGGCCTGGGGGCCGGAAGGTAGCGTTTGGGGCGAAAAAGGCTCATATGGTTCCCATTTGCCAAACTGCACACTTGTTATTTGACCTATTGCCCACTTGGGCCCCTGTCTGAAACTACCCCTTCTACAGGTGCTTTCGTATTCATCACTCACTTGTAACCGGGAGGGATGTTGCTAGCTTGTTGTTTGTTTTAGAATGCAATCCAATGACTTGGGCTTTTGCTTAATTGCTTGTGGGTCAAAATAGGTGCTTAATGACATTTCTCGAACAGTCTAGCCATGCCTTAAAGAGGACGTTTGTTACGATGTACACAGTCGAGAAGTGTCATTGTATACAGACGTTTGTTACGATGTATACAGTCGGGCTGCATTTTATTGTATTTTTTCAGGGTTGTATTTTTCGTAATCGGACCAGTCTGTGCATAGAATTGGATTTGGTCCGTTGGGGATCAGATCATATACTCATTGGATGCCGGATTTGTTTGATTAAACTATTGCTCGAACGAAAATACGAGTCAATGGCGTACTCGGTATATCATTTGTCAGTGACTGTTACAATGAGTACCATTGTGGCATCAGCAGTGGTTTCATATGCATAAACTAGCGCCTGCATTGGGAATCTGCAGTCCACCACACAGCTCAGTGTGGATCAATGTGGCTGTATATTTTTTTTTAACATGGAAACTATTTTCCTTCTATCTCGTGAGGAAGAACTATTAACAATACATTTTTAAGTTATACTTGAAGATGATAAAAATTATTGATGACATTGAATATACAAATAGTGTTGGTTATATTGTTAGCGCATCACACTGTTATTGTTACAGGCTAAACCAATTTGTGTTTTCCGTGTGGCACTTCCTCCAAACTCCGAGTCCCTGCCCTTGAATCTCATCCCCCCCTCCTCCTGCCTCTTATTACCTCTTCCCCCCCTAGCCCACTAACCTCATCTGCACCATCCTCAAACTACATATTCCAAAATGATGACAATGTTTAGTTTTGCTCTAATTGAAAGTGGGTTTTTGAAAACAAAAGGTGGGCAACAAAACATGCCACAAGCACACACTTGTAATTATTTATTTGATCGGAACTTTTTCATCCATGCGTGATTTGACACTGCAAAGTCAGGGTTAGCCGCACATGCCCACAGTGGATCAATGTGTTTGTTGTGAATAGGGAGTTTCATTAACTCTTGTTTTCTTCCCCAGTGAGAGAATTTTGTCATGGAATGTGTGCTACATTTCATTGATTACACAGATATCACAGAAATGCACGCAGCATTTTCTATACAATGCCTGCAGGCACATGCTGCATCGTTGCATAATATTCAATCTGCTGTGTATCGGCTCTTGAGACGAGGCTGTCCGTTCCTTCTCTGCCCTGGCATTGTGAAGTCCATTCTTGCTCATTTCTGGCTGATAACTCAATTTCATCTCAAGGGTCGTGTGCCACTAACTCCGAGGCTTCTGTGTTGTGCTCTATTAGATCTTGCTTTCACATGGAGTGAATTCTATTTGTACAAGTGGGAGCACACATGTAAAGAAGAATAGAAGATATAATTTAGTGGATGGCCCGAATAAAGGCTTGATTTTTAGAAAATAATGGATTTGTTTTTTACACCACTACAGGGCATGGGAGTTGATGTTGAAAACCAGATACACAGGAACCTTCGAATATACAGATACACAATGGATGTGAACAATGACTGTAATTAACATCGGCATTGTTGAAGGTTAATATACTGTGTCTGGCATATGAGATGTTGCACTCAACAGATTTTCAACATGTTGCCCTAGTCAGGTCTAACGTTGATCGCACAGACTTGACGATGTTTCCATCCCCCACCTCTGATACTCCGAGGTAGTTATATCCGGTTTGCATGGTTATGTCCCTTGGGAGTCAAATAACCATTTGACCTGGGTTTCAACTCTTTGATCTTGGGAGCAAGGATAAATACTGACTTCACCAGTTCAGTCAAGTACAGGTGCATACACGTGTAGGCGTAATGATTTCTTGAAATACAAAGCTTGTCTGCTCAGAACATTGGATAAAAGTGGGGTGATCTTGGTTAATGACTTAAAAGCATGCAACCAGCAGGCAATGGTGATTATTCATATGAGTTTTTTCTAGGCCATTTTAAAATGAAGATGTATACTTTCCGTTTTTTATTGAAAATCGGTAAACATTAATGTTATCCTTGTAGGGGGAAATTTACAGCATTTAAGAGCATTGGACTTAAAAGCATGTCGTTGCATGTTGTTTTTAAGCAAGATACTCTAAAACTAACCTTTTACAATTTAATAGAATCATGATATATTAAAAAAAACATGTATAAACTCCAAAAATAAACATTGGCAACACATTGGTGAATGCTTATGAACTGTGCAGTGTGTTTGTAAACGTTTATCTTACAGAGAACAGCAGGTGCCATAAGAAAGCTGTTTTTAGTGCTGTATTACCGTCGGTGCAATGCAATGCCGAATCTGTATCATAATGACAGATGAGAATGTGAAAGCCAGTGAAATAAAACTTATACGGCTAACTTGTGTTGTGGGTTTACTCTCCAACACACTGATGTGCTGTACTAGTAGCGAATTGGCACGTTTTGTTTACTTGACAAACCTTACTTATTGGAAATGTCTGGTGGTGGCGGATTTAACAACACATATTTACGCGATCTAACCCTAAAAACCTTTGTGGCAAAATATTGGTTGCGAAAGCCTACGTGTTACGCTAACGTGTATGGTATTTGTTTCTCCCTCCTGTTTTTTTTGCATCCATAGGTAAGGCGTCAGAGCGAGGACATTATTCGTCATACAGCAGAGATCCTTCGATGCCTAGTTGCCATCAGGTACTCTTGAATATGCCTCATTCACTGTCATAAAATCTTGCAATGCATGTGTTTTCTTTGCTTCACGGTTTAACTGACTGGCATAAAGATAAAACTCTCACAAATCAATACGTAATTTTTTATTTTCAAAGCCATGAGGATTTGTCATCTGGCTGTCATTGGTGTTACATGTGCGAATGTATTGCCTTGTCTTCTGTTCTGAATAGATGGCAACCGCTTCAGATTTTTTTTTACAGAATTCATCATTGTGCAATGGGAGATGTCATTGCTCTTTCTCTGGTATTTACTTGGTATCGGTCCGCATAACTTAATATGCACAGCACTGCTGTTATTTGTCCATTTTCCAATTCAAGTTGTGATATATTTACAGGTGTGTGCATTTTAAACGAGTAGTACGTATTCGTGAGTGAAACACAAACAAGAATTAGCATTTTCACATGTTAGTTAACTTTGCAACAAAAACACGTCCAGCGTAATTAGTTTTTAATAAAGCATCCATTATTAACCACTTCAGTTGACCATTTTGGCAATTTTTGTCTAGGACCTGTTTGAGAGCCTTATTGTGTGCTAGTGGTGGTGATGATGTGGTGGCAGGGATTAGCACAGGGATAACATGGCAAGGAGAAGGGAGAGCAACACAGCGGCATAGCCCGCGACTAGCAACGGGGTCCCAGCATCAACAATCATCCCTTGGGACATATGGGGCAGTCAGGACCATCGGACCCATTTCATCAACAATTCCCACGGGCAGCCACGGCAGAAGCGAGGAGTTTCAGGACAGCCACGGCTACAAACGAGGCCCGGGAGAGAGATGGGCAGCGGTGCCGTTGAGAAGCGAGGAATGAGGGCACTGAGGGAGAGGTCAGTTATGGGTCAGGAGGTGGTACGGGGATTACGGTAAGGGAAGGGGGAAAAGAACAAAAACCACATGGTACGGCGAGAAAAAAAATTAAACTGGAGCGGCAAGGGAGGCAGAGGCGATGACCAGGCATAGTTTGGGTTGGGCAGCGGCAACTTCAACTTACATCATCATCATCATGCAGGGATGATGGCCGACGGTCAAGAATAGTAATGGAGAGGCAGCAAAGGAATGCAACGCATCCAAGGGTTATGTCCAACAAGGAGGTGGAATGATAAATCAGGTTCATATGCTTGGTAGATTATTACATCGCAGGGTCATGAGAGATGGCGAGGGCTTGGGGAGGCCTTCATCCATCGGTGCAATTATCATGGTTAATGATAATATATGTTTATCGATAGATTCATAAGGCACATAATGCATGTGGTTAATATGCCTAAGTTATGCGTAAAAAAATGACATGCCAAAAAAACCCTTTCGTGTTGAGAAACAATATGTAATAGATCACATCTTAATATTTAAATAATGTCGTTTTTTTTTTTTTTACACAATTTCACGTATATGTGTATGTGCACGTTGAAACTGGAAAACTATTTTTTTCTAATGTCAACTGTCATGTGTGATTTAACTGGACATTTTTTTACAGGCAGTATATGGGTTTCCTTTTATATATCCTTGATAAGTGGTTTTAACATAAACGCCGTGTCTTCAGAACGAAACCAGCTATTAAAATGTCCTTAAGCATCTTCTCATTTAATTCTGTTTAGCTTCCAGCTCCATACCTTGCAGCCCTTTAAGCCAATCCTCAGACGATTCTCAGAGATGGTAGGGGGGGGGAGTTATGGTTGTGGCTGAAAAATACGTGTTTGTTTATTATATTTTTATATGCTACTGAATCGTTTGTCAAGGTGACAGATTATAAGCACGTTTTAGCGTCTTGATATCCTTGCTGTTTAATGGTGGGAACATTTTAAACTTATAATTTTGCTTCTTTGATGTCAGATATCTCTACGAGAAGGATTTGTTAAACATGCAATGCCTGAGCTCAGTAACTTGGCTGGGAAGACTGGAGAATTTGAGAGGGAAAAAAACCCAAGCTGTTAATTTATATCCAGTATGCCGTGTGATATGAGAATACAAATTAAACACAAAAAACATTGAGTGAAACACCTGCATATTCAATGGTGGCTCAGGCATGCTGGGCAGGCATCGCTATAATGATATTTGGATCATTTGGTGATGCAGAGTTGCTTAATATTCAAATTATCATTGTTTATTTTTTGAAACAGTAAAACGACAGATTTAAAAACAGTCGTATTCCCTCTATCTTGTACGTTACTTTGCGTGTCGACCGTGGAACACGGGGAATTAATGAAACTCCCCACAATTAGCCAAATGAGTCACCGCTAGTATTTTCCAGAGTACACACATCCATTCTGGCCAATACAGCTAATTGAACGACAACTTTCTAAACAAATTGACTTGAAATGTGCCAAACCACAAGTGACCTGGGGCCCTCCTCAAAAAATGTGAAATCGTTTTGTTGCATTAATTTTGGTAGAACAGTGTTTTATTCAGTGAATGCATGCACGTCGATAATTTATTATGTCTCTTTCGTCATGTGTATTATATTAGCTTTCTGTTTTAACTCGGGGAGTTTCTTCAATTTCAGTTCTCATGACCCACCACAGTATTATTTTTCTTGAATCATTGCCTCATTGTTGGTCATGAGAACTGGTTTGAAAAGCTTTAGTTTTTACCCATTGCAACCATGGCTTCAGTTAACTGTTTGCAACCTATGATGGCAAACATTTAAACTCATACACTGTTGGGACAAGTGCTATTCGCGAGCAGCACCTATGAAGGCCGGCACAGCACACGAGGGTGGTGGGTGAGCATCACCACCACACCCGGCTGCCTTTGTTACCTTAGTGGCGATGTTTACGCAGCGCACCAGGTACTCATTTGAGGCTGAGTCGACCTTGGGGAGGCCCATGACCGGTTCAGATAATCGTCACTGGTGTTGGCCTCGAGCGAGAATCGAACTCGAGTTGCCGGGTTCGTCGTGCAGTGCACTAACTGTTGCGTTACCGCTCCCCATACTATTTACACACACACACGTGGTATTCAGATATTTTCTTTAGCTAATCAACTTTCATGATGGTATGGTAATAAAAAAGCAAATCGTTCAATTTTCCAAATATTACTTTTAATTTGAAAAACACTATTTTTCATAAATGGATAATCAACGATTTGTAGCAACATTACAAAACCACAACGAATAAGATAGCCACGTAAGTTATGAATATTTATGGGGTAGGAAAAAAATCTTTAAAACAAGGAAATGTAATGCAGGTAAATCCCGATGTTTGACGAGGACTCCTGCTGCGTCGAGTAAATCCATTACCAAATAATCAACGCGCTCCATTACGCCCTGCTGCATTTTTAAGGCACACACGCACACGCAAAATAGCGTGGCATTGGGCCTTATAGCCCAGAGTCTCAGCCGAGCCATTGTGTATCGAGTGTTTGTGGCTGTACGGCTTAGGGGTTATGGCAGTGGCTGAAATAATTCACTTAAAAAATTGTGCGACATTCCTTTGCTGTCTCCCTGCTCACGGTCTTCTGCTAAGAAGGCCTTAAGGGTGACTTGGGCTGTGTATCGATGCACTGGACACCACAGCCTGGTGTCGAACACCAGGTGTTGAAGCACTAACATAATGTGAGATCACCAGGGATTGGTTTATTACTCGTGTTGTGTATGATGTGCACACCTGAGTGCAGGGTATAATAGCTGTAACCACATCTTTTGTGGGAAATCCAACCGCACAAATGAAGTAATTAAATGAACAGATACATTCCCATGCTTGACCTCTGGTGTCTGTGATCTTGGTACATGGCCAGTATCTCTTAAAAGATGAGAAGGCTCTTTAGCTTTGGTGACTGAGTGGGATGCCCCTTAAATTACCCACCCATTCATCCATCTACATGGGGGTGTGTGTGTGCGTGCAGTGGGGAGCGGCAGTGTAGCGGGTTAGCGCTTTGCGCTACGAGTCCGGCAACACGAGTTCAATTCCTGCTCACGGTCAACATCAGTGACGATTATCTGAACCGGTCATGGGCCTCCCCTAGGTCGACTCGCCCTCAAATGAGTCCCTGGTGCGGTGTGTAAACATCACCACTGGGGAGACAAAGGCGGCCGGGCGTGGTGTTGGCCACCCACCCCCTCGTGTGCCGTGCCGGCCTTCATAAGTGCTCGCAAACAGCACTTGCCCCAACAGTCTGTTCAGGCTATACGGGGGATCTTTGTCTCTGCTGTACGTTTGTGTGGGGCTTCCGCTGGCAACACAATGGCTCCCTTTTTATTTTACGCACGTAGTGGGGAAATGACAGTGCATGCTAGGCATCCCTATGGGGCTGCTAAAAGTGTGGCTTAATTTACGAAGTTCTTATGAGCAGAATGTGTGCTTTGTGCTTGTCAATGAACGTATTCCACCTTTGGCTCATGGAGGGGTAGGTTAGTAAGCATTTTTAGCAGCTTAATTGACAGTTTGTCTCAAACTGTCATCGCACGTGGGAAATTTGTCTATTTAATCGTTGTAATCGCCACTTGGTTCATTACTTTATTAATCATTAACTGTAGATTGAGCGTATAGACATTGGAGTTAATATATTACTAAAGCGTATTTTTGTCTCAAAAATATGTATTTGAATCTTCACTTCAAAGAATAGCAAAGCATATTTTTCCCCATGTGTTCTTAATGAGTATAGTCCTTGCAGGTACGTGCTTGGCGGTGTAGTTATAAAAGTGAGGAGAGAGTTTAAATACTTTTTAGACATGTAAGCGGATGTGATCGTGGCACTGCAGGGTTTAGTCAAATTCAACTCCGAATGGGTTGAAACATTATCATCAAAGCATTTAGAGAACAGCAAATGCAATTTTTCTCAGACTCTAATTAGTTATCCTACAATAGCGTCGAATACCATTTTATAATATCATTTCATAGATGTGGTTTTAACGTAAGCTTAACACAATTATTGTTCATTCTCATCCTTAAACTGTTATGAGACACCCATCGTATGTGTGTTATACATTAACGCTTATAGGTAATGTAATATAATTGAATACCACAGAGGAATT